GGACCCATGACCCAAAGATACTAGGGAAAAGCACAGACAGCATGTGATCCGTCTGCACGCCTGACCTGAGGTACTCGGGTTCCTTTTTCTACCCACAAAGTGCTTGGCAGGGCAGGACTGTGTGTGTAGGTCTGCTGATGGCCCCGGTCACGCTGTGCTCACCAGCTCCGTACCGACATGGGAACTCATAAAATGAGCAATACAGGAGTGGCTGCTTCCAAACAGGAGCTCTGTAGTGGTTGCAGAGATCAATCCCCAGTTCTCTGGGGTGGCACTGAACTGTCTGTGCCCTATCACGTTTTTCTGCACCTGTAGAATTTTTTTTTCCATTTCACCAAAACACAAAAGTCCCTGCAGAGAGTGGCCCCGTTCGCTCAGCAGCATCCACCCTCTTCAACAAGTGATGAAGGAGCCCTGCAGAGTTAGAAAAGTGTAATGGAAGGTGGTTGTGGTGTACAGGCAGAAGGGGCTGAGCAGAGACTGCCCCTTTGGGTGCCTAACTTCATAGTCTGAGATCTCACGTGTGTTTTTCCTGTGCTGTTTTCTAGGCTTAAAAAACAGCCTGAACAGGGAAAATCAAACAGTCGTGTGGAGCAATTCTGTGCCCCATGTGGGCAATCAGCACACTCATCCTGTGGATGCACAGCACCGGTGCCTCTGGCTGCTGCAGCAGCAGCTCTTCCAGCCCTGGATGTGGCTGAGGTAGTTGTTTGTTACCCTCTCTTTGCTCACCCCCCAGCAGAGCCGGGGGGAGCTATTGGGTTTTATGGTCAGGCTGGGAGCTCCTGGGCACCACTCCGTAAGCTGGAAGGGAAAAGAGCAGGGGCTGGTGCTGCTTTCTCTGTTCTCTACTCCCCTGCAAAGCCTGCTTTAGTGGAAAGTCTGTGAAGCTGAACCTATTTAGCTAACTGAGGAGTAGATTCATCTTGGAGTCACTGTGGGGGAAGCAGTTAATGTACAGCAGGACTCCTTGGGTTAGTGGAGGCTTAATGAAACAAGAAATACAGACCAGAGAGCTTGTGCTTTATTTTGGTGGCAAGGGTCCCGGCTGCTGGAGTGACTCCCAGGGGATATGTAGGAGTCCTGTGTCTCTAAAACCCAGCCAAAGTCTTTTCCCCAGGGCTGTGTTGCTCCAGATCCCTTGGTGAGCACAGAGAGCAGCATTTTGGCTCTGCATGGTGACCTTGGCAGGGCAGGGGAGACCCGGCTGGGGCACCTTGTGCAATGCCTCCCCCAGCCCAGTCTGGGAGCGGGGGAGGACTGGGACTTGTCATGGCAAGGGGAGGGTTTGGAGACACCCACCACCCAGGAGTTTCAAAACCAAGGAGCCGCTCTTGCAGATGTTATTGCCGGGAGTTTCCTGCTTCCCTCCAGCTCCCAGGTTCTTGTGTCTCCTCTCCTGTGCTGGGTCCCAGGTAATGAGTGTCTTATCTCAGCGCCTCGTCCCAGCCCACTGCTGCTCCCCAGCAGCACCGAAGCAAAACTGGGGACTGCTCCTGCCCTCTTGCCATGGGAATGGTCTGGGATCTCCCTTGCAGTGCCTCACCTTCCTCCTGGTGGCTGCTTCTTCTGGAGGAGAGAGAGAAGGGCCCTCCCTAGAGAGGGTTCCTCATCGTTGAGTTGGATTTGCTAGTGCTTGTGTTTGCCTTGAGTGAAACCGCTTTACCTGCAACTAACTGGGATGGCTGAACTCTGGCACAGGGGGGATGCAAAGAAGCAGCTGAAATCTGGAGATGTTCAGAAGGTGGATTTAAACCTGGATAGATAGTCCTCACCTATCAAATCCTGACTCCTTACCCAGGTGAGAATTTCCCTTCTGGGGGTCCCAGTGGAAGCAGAAGGATGGGATTGCTGACAAACAAGTTGGTGCAAACTCCTGTCCTTTGGCCCTCCTTGAAGAGCTTGGCTGGATTGAGAAAGCGCTCAGGACTGGTTTACGTGCAGAGAAGAGATGCACTATGCACTTGAAAGAACATTTTTTCCTCTTTGGAGATCAGCCCCCAGACCCTGCGGGGGCAGCTCAGCCCTGCTGCTTCTGCAGGAGGAGGTGGAACCATGAAGCCTTAATGAAGTGCATGACACCATGACTGATCCCTTGCGAGACGCAGAGGCGTTGGGCAAGCGGGTGCTAAGCCAGAAGAGCTTGTTTTGGGGTAGGTGAGGCCTCTGGTTTATTCATCATGGGAGAGAGCTGGAGTTCGGATCAGGTTCTGAAATTCCAGGCCTCAACATGAGGTGGTGCAAAGCATCCACTTCCCATCTGTGAACGAGGAGCCGCTGCTCCCTGTGCAGCAAGGAGGAGGAACTGAATGCCTTTGGGGAAGAACAGGAGATAAAGGAGGTGCTAATGAAAGCTAGAAGAATGAAGTCATCAAATATAAAAAGAAGACGAGAAGAGATTCTTCTAGGGGAATTCATCCATCCCTGCTCATCTCTACAGCTGCCTGCCTGCTCTTCAGAAAAAGGAGGAAGAGGGATTCAGAAGTGAAAAGGGTTTTTTTCCCCCTCTACACTTTCCACTGCAATAACAAATTTTGGAGGGGTGAATCCTGCTTTATAACCTTGTGTTATTTATTCAACAGGCATCCCAGGCACGCAGTACAACTCGAGCGTCTCCATTCCCCATTTGTGAAATGTGGATGCTAACACATACCAGCCTTGGGCAGGATAATCATGATTCCCCGAGTCCCAGCAACACGCTCGCAGCTGCACGATACAAAAGTCAAGAGAGTCCCTATTCAAAATGCACAGGTCCTCCTGGAAGGGCTGTTGAGCACTTGCCACTCCAAAATGACTTCGTGGGCAGATGGAGATGATCTCCCCACCCCTAATGAATGTGACTCACTCTGGAGTGGTTAGCACATTAGCATAAAGAGCTCTACCCTCCTGCTGCCCTGCTTGCTCAATTAAAGTGCCATTTGAACCTGATCCCTTCTGTGTTTTGAACACAGGCACACACACAACACCACTGTAATTGTAAATATTTGCCCAAGGTCACCTCTGACACCTCCAGCTTTTAATGCAGAGGCTCAACTAATCTCAGCACTCATCAAGCTGTGAGCCGGGCTGTCGCCTGCTGGTGATCTCTTAGGAAAACTGTTTGGAGGACTTAAGAAAAAAAAAAAACAAACAAACCACTTTTGTCACCGAGCTGTGGTCTGGTGGGTCAGTCACAGCCTGCTTGGGCCCCAGCACTGGATCTGCTCTACAGATGGAGCCACAGTTGCTTGGCTTGTGAGCCTGAGCACCCTCAGCAGCCGGTTCCTGGGGGGGCAGATCTCCACGGCATCGCCCCAGCAGCTACTCCAACCCCCACTCCCCAGCCCTGCCAGCTTGCTCACCCTCTGCAGTGAGGCTGTCACCAGAGCCAGGGTGACGTTGCGATGCCACATAGCTGGCCACAGCTGCACGGTGCCTCTGGCTGGGCTGTTTCTCCCTGGGGTGCTGTGGGAGGAAAGCTGAGAGTATCTGAGCTCGGGTGTGAGCCGAGCTGCCAGCCTCCTGCGGTCACCGTGTAGAGCCCTGTGCAGCTGGGCTGTCACCCACCGAGGCCGGGGTGATGGTGCTTTGCTGTGATCTCCAGCCGTTAGCAGCCTTGTTCCTCCTGCAGCCCGATGTGCCTCGTCTCGGGGCTGCGCATTTGCGCTCCGGCCCTCACTGCTTTGCCCCAGCAGCCTAAACCCGGCCCTGGCTGCCTCTCTGGCCTGCAGGCAGCACTGCCTTCAGGAAGGTGGCTTTCATTCCCTGCCTGTCTAACCAACGGAGGATCGGGCTGTATCGGGCTCTGGTCTGCCTGTTTGTTCTCTTCTCGCTCGGTCTGCACAGATGCAGACGACAAGGACCGGTCCCAGGACAGCTATGAATTACGTGACTTGGCCACAGCCATGCAGGCTGTGTTTTCGCTGCCAGAAAAGCAGAGGTAGGATTTAATGCAGAATAAGTGGCGCATATTAACTGTCCCGCTGTCAGACCCTCCTAGGGACAAGGATTTGTAATTCCTCTGCGTGGTGAACTAGGTGAGAACAAGGCCGGCTGTGGTTGTGATGTTGACCTCCACTGCTTGGCAGAGTGCAGCTGTCTTGTTCCACTGGAAAGTCACAGTGTGACAGCTACCATGTGCTTGCCGTCTGACTGTAAAAATACAGCTTGTTTGTGTGTGTGCGTGTGTGTGCAGTGATGATGGTATTGCGGCGCTTTGAGGGCAGAAAACGAAACAGTTTCAGGTCCCTGCAAAGCAAAACCTTCCTCCGGCACCCACAAGAATCTCTCCTTATCTCACCTTAAGGAGCACCGGGAGCCTGGATATATTTTTCCTCATGTTTATTTTAAAGAGATGGCTCATTTAACACTCGGGGCAGTCTTCAAATATAAATAACCTGTACAGCACGTATCCATATTACCGAGGAATAAATTACACTCCTGGGTTCCCCCTCCCTTGCTTCCCTTTGATGTTAGTGCCGTGGATACATATACACATATATATGTATACGTGCACTTCATACATAATAATGTAACCTCACCCAGCAGCCTTTTTGCAGCACGGAGAACACCAGGACATTTCCCCCCCCCCCCCTTTGCTGAACTGGAAAGTAACAATCCCCCGCCCGTCCCAATTTCCAGCCGGGTCTGCCCACGGGAAAACCCACCGCGCAGGAAGACCCCCGCGCACACGTAAGGACCTGCGCTGCGTACCCCCCCCAACCCCCCGCCCCACGGCCGCGCCGATGCGCGAATAACGCGGGGGCTCCGCGCAGGCGGCTGCGCGACTGCCGGCTGTGCGCCCACGCGGGGCCAGACGCCGGGGGGTGGGGGGGGGGGAGCCTGCGTGGGCACCTCCCGCGGGTGAAATTGGGGGGGGGGGGGGGGGGATCCCGGGGACACCGGAGCCGCCGGCCTCACCTGCGGCGGGGCGGGGCCGGGGCGGGGCCGGGGGGGGCGGGGCGGGGCGAGTGAGGCCCCGCCCACCCCGCCCCGCCCCGCGCCGCCGCCGCCGCCGCCGCCGTCTCCGTCTCCCCCCGCGCCGCCGCCGCCGCCGCCGCCTCCAAGATGACCGGGCAGCGGCGGGGAGGCTGCCGCAGCCCGCTGGTAGGTAGCGGCCCCGGGGCGGAGGGGGGTGCGGAGCGCGGGGCCCCGGCGCTGCCCTTCCCGGGGGTTTGCAGCGAGTGAGTGGCGGCGGGGCGGGGTGGGGGGTGCGCGGAAAGGCTGCTGCCCTTCCCGGTGAGCCGGTGCCCGCCGGCAGCTCCCCGCCACCCCGGTTCAGGTCTCGCCGCTGCAAAGTGCGTTTGTGAACCCGCCCCGGCTCGGTTGGGAGACCTGGGGGGGCGGGGGGGGAGCTCAGCCCCTTCCTCCCCCCCCCCGCCCCCCCACCCTCCCTCCTCCATCCCCGTTCCGCGGGGGGCACCGCGTCCTTCCCGGCCGCCGCCGTTACCGTCCTGCGGGGCACGGCGGTTCTCGGGGACCGGGGGGGCCCCTCCCCGCGCCATGTCGGCTCTCCGTGCCCGCTGGTTAACGGCCTCGCGGCCCCCCCCCCCCCCCCCCCCGCGATCCCCCGTTTCCCCAGGGAGAGCGCGTCGCACCCCTCCAGCCCCCCGCCCGGTGAGCACCGCCGGGACCCCGCATCCCTCGGGACCCGCTGGTGCCGGCGGGGAGCTCGGTGCGGGGCCGCCCCCCCCCCCCCGGTCGCCTGCCCAGCCGCGAGGCGCGGCTCCAGCCCCGGTAAACTTTAGTTAAATGGAAGTTAAAAGGTAAAAGGTTCCCCCGAGACCGGCGTCTTCAGCAATCGCGCAGGCTTCTTGCAGAGCAAGAGGGAAGAAGTGGGCATGTGTAATGTGCCTACTAACGCAAGCCCCGCCGCTGCACCGAGAGGCTGGGCAGTATTTCTTGGGATATTGCTCTGACATTTTATTGCCTGCATCCTTAGAGATATTACTGCTAGTCCTGAAGCGGAGCGTGTTTTGCTTGCACTGAGAATCTGTTGAGCTGTTAGAAAATGCGCCTGTGTGACACGCGAGAGCTGAATTTCCTCATCCTCACACTTTATTTATGTGTCTTGCCTCCAAAAACATTATCAACCGCATATTTCATTGCTCTAATGTGCACAGCTGAAGATGGTTGTAACGTGGCTCGGGTGGCAAAGGGCCGTTCTGCTGAACGGGTTGTGGAGTTTCTGGAGAGGGCAAATGGCTCTTGTTGCTCCATAATTTCCTCAAGTCTTGACACGCCGGGGCGTTAATGGCTCCGGCTCTGCCTGCCCTGCCTGGCTTTCGCCCAGGCCTCCTTGCGCTCTCGAGCGAGCCCTGAAACCGCAGCTGAGCCTTTGTTGTTGGAAGGCGGCTTCCAGGAGACGGGCTCAGCCCCGGGAGCTGCTGCAGCCGGGCTGAGGCTGGCGGCCAGTGCCCGCCGGAGCGCCGCACACCGTGCTGGGGCGCTGCTGGTCACCGCTGCCAGCCCATCTCCCCGTGTGCCTGGCATCGAGCGGGGCTGGAGCTGCTCCTTGACTCTTGGAATAAGATCAGTGGTGCCCACCCATCCTTATCTCCCCGGCTCTGGCGAGGCAGGGGGTGCACGGTGGCACTCGGTTTGTGCTGGGGGGCTGTGGCGGGGCTGTGGGCAGAGCCCTCTGGCTTCTGCAGGTGCTGTGGTGGTCGTGGCTGCGACCTGCTAGGAGCATGCTCGGAACTCCTCCCTTGGCTCTTGCCCCTAATGAAGGGGTAATAAAACCGAAGGGGTAATAAAACTAGCTGCAAAACAAGAGGAAGGGGGGCTGGCTGTGGCTGTCTCCCTGCCTCAGGCAGTGGTGTTGGAATGCTCTCGCACCCAAGGGGGTGTTCCTTGGGGATGCTCCTGGGGAAAGACGGTGAGTGGGATAGAAATAGGAGGAGGGAGAATGAACGTCAGTGGCAAGAAGCAGTTTCATCGATTCAGGCAGGTGGTGTTATTGCTACAGAGCTCTGGGTGTGCCGGCTGCTTCACCAGCGATCAGAGACAGGTCTGTGCCCTGCGGAGCCTTTTGCGGCATCGGGTGAAAGTAATGCCTGCGTGCAGCCAGGGTCCTGCGAGTTGGGCTGCCTGTTTTGTAAACGTTGCTTTAGAAGAAGAAATTAAGCTGCAGTGGGTGATAAATTCCCTCCCTTGAAGAGCGTGCTGGCAGGCGGGCTGTGCTCCAGTGGCCTGGTTGGCACAGGCACAGCTTGGGGAGGTGATGTGCTAACAGTTTGTGTGTCGTTGCATAGATAGATATGTGTTTGTAAGCAGGGTGGGATCATCCTCGAGACCACGTGAGTTTGATAGATGACTTCTAAACTCAGGATTGTCTTGTCTCTTGGATCATCCCCTAGAGGGGATGGGGAGGCATGTTTCCAAACCTGCACTCGGGCTTTTCATCCTGCATCCTCCGGTCTGTGGCTCTGAGTGGGTGTCCGTGCAGGCTGTGGTGGGGACCATGGACTGAGTAGAGGGTGTTGAGGATCAAGCCTGTTATTTCTTGGGTCAGGTCCTGACTTCTGGGTGTCCTCACATCTCAGGGGCTGGTTGCTGGAAGAACTGTGGCTCTTGGCTGTCCCATCAGAGATGCTGGAACCAGAACTTTCTCTGCAGGCTGCACAGCTGGTTCTTTAAACGAAGCTAATAACAGTCTGATTATTTTGTACCTCTGGAGGGAGTTACTGCTTCTGATAACATACCCACCTTCACCTGCTTGAAATCTCTCTTAGGCTGGCACTCCCGTCTTTGAGGCGAGCTCACAGAGTATTTCAGGAGGGTTTGTGGCTGCAGAGAATGCTCCCCTGGGCAGCCTCCTTGGGAGGGACAAACAGCCCTGGGGAGGCTTGGGGTCAGGGTCTGGTCTCCTTGCCGGGGCTTGAACGTGTGCCGCTTCTTTTGCTTCATTTTAATATCCTTCCCCTGGAAAGCAAGTGCATGTTGCAGCTTAATGAGTGCCTGGCTTTACCATCATCTTTTGCAAACGAGCAACTCCGTCAGCCCCTCTGATTAACGAGAGAATGTGGCAGAGAAGCCTGTGACTGGTCTCCCTCGTCTGCCTCCTCCAGTGTGATCGCTTGCTGGTGTGGAGCCCGGGATCCTGAAAATGCCGGGGCAGGGAGGTCACTGGCAGGGAGAATGGGGCATCTGTGCGCCACTGAAAGCTGCCTTGTGCCGTGCGAGGGTGGCGGGGCCCTGGCAGCCCGGCCGGCGCTGGGGAGGGAGCGTCTCACCCCTCGGATCCTGTGCCGCCTTCCTGTTTTCTTACGTGTGGCCGCAAGAAAACATCGCGTTAGCTCTTTCTGCCAGCGGCCCGGGACCTGCCTCTCGTCTGCTGGGTGCGGAGAGGGGGCCGGGGCCGAGCCCCGAGCCTGCGGCTTGTGTTGTCCTTGGAGGGGATGCGGGCGCAGAGCTGGGCGGGCTGCAGCCCTGGCTTTGCGGGGTGGAGGTGGTGGGGCCCTGCTGGCATTGGTGAGATATGCAGTGCTTGGTGGCTCTGGCATCTGCTGCACCCCCCCACCCCCCCGCCGTTCCTTGTCCCAGCCCTGACTGGGCTGCGGAGAGTGGCCGGAGGCAGAATAGCTCCTTTTGTGCCTCTGGACACGCTGGCCTTTCTCAGGAAATAGCTTATTGTATTCGCTGGCAGCGCCAGGCTCCGTCATTGCCTCCGCTCGGTCCCTGCGCGTGGGCTGCCCCTGGGTCCGAGCGGGTCCTGGCCCGGGGGGCGAGTGGCGAGGACGGGGACATCCTTGCCTCTGCTCAGCTGGGGCTCCCGAATCGCTGCTGGGGGGAGGAAGACAGCCCCCTCCCCAGCCAATGCCCAGCAGCACAGCGGGGTGCTGCCCCTCAGGAGCATGCTGCAGTGGGGATGGGGTCTGGTGATAAAAAGCTTGGGGTCCCCCCTCGCCCGCTGGGTTGAAGCTCTTTGCCCTGCGCAGCGTGGCCGTGCCGGGTCCCTTTGCTCTGTGCTGGGTCACAGCCTGCCCCGCAGGGCTGGGGTGCGCGGAGTCAAGCATGTCTGCCTGTGAGTTTGGACCTTTTTTTGTCATCTTTCAGCTCCGTGGGGCTGGTCACGGGCTGGGCTTGCCTTCCTCCCCAAGCAAACCAACCCGACATGCCTCCGGGCGCCAGAAGGGCCGGGGACACCCCCCTGCCACCCCTTTCCCCCGCTCCTCTCCTGCCTTTGGAGTTCTCGCAGCCAGACTCAAGCTGCCATCCCTCTCATGTCCCCGTTCCCCTTTCACCACCACTCCCCCCATGATATCCCCTTCTCCTGCCAAGGGGCGCTTGTAGGGGGTGCGAGCTGTCCCAGTGTTGTACCAGTGGCTGCCGGAGGGCCTGGAACTGGGGAGGGGATGCTGCACTGCTGCAGGTGCCGTCACTCCCCCCATTGCTCAAGTGCATGGGAAAAGCCTGGCACGCTCTGAGGTGCTCCCTCCTTGGCTGGGGCTGCCCTGGGACGGTCCAGGCACATTTTGGGTTTTGCAGAACCAGATGAGTCTTTTAAATTGAAGTGGAAAAGGCTTGCGGGATTCAGGTGGTGTTTCCCAATGAAAACCGTGTTTATTATTTAAAACTGTGCCGGCTGGGATGTGTCCAAGCGGAGGAGCGTGCTCGGTAGCCTGCTGCAAGCAACCTGGCCTGATACGGGAATGCCTGCTCCTCCCCGCCCGGGTGTTGGCAGCTGCTTTGGTTTCCTTTTGGGCATTTCCCGCGGGATTTCTGCGCTTCGGAAGGAAGAGGGTGCGGATGGGATCTGGCTTGAATGCGATCATCAGCCAGAGTGCCCCGGGGGCGAACAGGGACACTTGCTTTCACCCGTGCGGTTTAAAAATGATGCTGGATCTTTTGCTTTCAAAATTTAAGAGTAGAGAAACTAAATAGAAAGAGGATTTGCTGTGTGGGTCATTTTGTTGTTTGTTTGGTTTTTTTTTTTTTGGGGGGGGGGGGGGGCGGAGGGAGGTGTGTGTGTTGTTGGGTTTTTTTGTGGTTTTTGTTTTTACAGCTGTTGCAGAGTTGGATGCTGGAGGCTCTCCGGTCTCAAAACTGTATATTTTCTATGTCTCTTTATCTGGACTCTACTTGAGAGGGGAAAGGAAAACCCA